CTTGTGTGAAAACTTCAGCTGTACTGTACATATTGTCACGTGTATGGGTGACTTGTGGCAAGGAATTTGGATTGGATGTTTGGGTTTATTGCACTTTATACATTCACACAACTCGGGACTACAGGCAATACAGCCTATCGCTATTTCCACACACTTTCCAGTTCACCGTTGCGCGCGCACTAGGGCTCTGTCTTCACTAGTCGTATCCTCGCAATGGATTTATCACAGTCTCGCTGTGACTTCAACTCACCATGAAGTCTTCTTGGCAAAGTCTAATTCCTTTCTTGCCATTTCTTCTCAATCACTTCTGGCTGAGGCCAACGACCCTCCAAGCATTTTAACCGCTTCATACATGTATACTCGTACAAGCAAGAAAACTGTCGCCACATGTCCGCAAAGCACTACAACAACCTTCCTTAATAGGACATGTTATTTGTATAGTTCTTAATTATATTTTAATTATGTAGTTTATCTAGTTTAAAATCTTGTATTTTTATTGTATTTTATATTTAATAGTATTATATTACGGTATATTATGGAAAGTCCAACACTGCCCTGAATTATATAGTTTGAAATTCAATAGCTTAAGAACACGTTAATTTTGTATTTGCCTGGTTATCGCTTTCTGTAAAGCCGAAACATCCAGCAAATACTGTTAAACATCAACTGTTTTGTTGTTCTGTTGTGACGGATTTTAATAAAGAAATTTATTTCATGTTCTGTTTTAGAATCACTGGTAAATGGAGCGGTGGCGCCGGCGTCAAGACATAGCGTGCTCGAGGAAGACGCCCGGCGCCTGAGAGATACAATTTCTCGCTTCGTGCTCCTACGGGTGGATCACACAGAGTTCGCATGCCTCAAGGCACTCGTACTTTTCAAAGCAGGTATGTCTCTATACGCCTGCGTTAAGGCGCCATGTTCATCAAAGCACTACCAAATGCAGATCATGTTAAGTTGGCAACCTGTTTCAGAGAGCCACGGACTACGCAACGCGGCACACGTGGAGCTGCTACAGGACCAGACGCACGTCATGTTGCATGAATACTGCGCTGCCCGACACAAAGCAAGATTCGGTAAGCTGCTGTTGTTGCTGCCATCTGTCGGGAGTCTGAGCAGACAGAGCCTGGAAGAGCTATTCTTCAGGAAGACCGTGGGAGACGTGCCCATAGAACGACTCCTTGGGGACATGGTAAAATCTTCCTCTGGGTAGAGGGAACTATTGCTGCAATGGGTCACGATCGGGAAGCAAGTAGCGATTCTTAACGCCAGTATCACACGGCGTTGCTATGGGTTTTCATCAATTTTCAGAATACATGAGCCTTACTTCTTATCGTATTTACCGTGAAATTCGTCATCTTGAAGATAGGAACAAAATTTTAAAATACTGACAAAATATAGATCTGTCCTGCAGAGTATTTTTTTTAATTCTCTTAGTGGGGGGTGGAGTCCAACTGGGTCCATTCGGCACGGCGGCCACTTATTGGTCTATTGTAGCCTGCCCCGGGTGGTTATGATGATGGAGAATTTGGTGGATTGAAGAGTGGCAGGGGAAACCTAAGTACTAGGAGAAGACCCGCCCCAGCGCCACTTTGTCTACCACAAATCCCACTTGACCAGACCCGGGATCGAACCCGGGCCGCCGCGGTGGGAAGCCAGCGACTAACCGCTTGAGCTAGGGCACGGCCTTGTCCTGCAGAGTAAGGAGACTATGTGGTCTGTTCTGAGCTCATTGCTTCTTCTAAAATAGCAGTATCATGCTGGCAATCTTATTGTTCCATACAGCCGAACAGTGTTACGGTACGGTATATGAAGATTCATCAGAATCTGACAAATGACCCTGACGATAGGCTATATGTGAATTTCAGTTTAGGCCCTTACAGCTAATTAAAGTGAACGAAATATAAACATAAATAATCCCTCCTACCAACTCTCAATTCTGGGCCGCGCCATAGCTCAAGCGATTAGTCGCTGGCTTCCCACCGCGGCGGCCAGGGTTCGAGCACGTCTCTGGTCAAGTGGGATTTGTGATGGACAAAGTGGCGTTGGGGCAGGTTTTCTCCGAGTACTTCGATTTCCCCTGCCAATCTTCATTCCACCAAATTCTCCATCATCATAATCACCCGGGGTAGGTACAATAGGCCAATCAGTGGCCGACGTGCCGAGTGGACCCAGCTAGACTCAACCACCCCACAAAGCGAATTAAAAAAAACTCTAAATTCTGTCTGGATCGAGGGAGCACGGGACGTCAGNGTGGCAGGGGACACCGAAGTACTAGGAGAAGACCCGCCCCAGCGCCACTTTGTCTACCACAAATCCCACTTGACCAGACCCGGGATCGAACCCGGGCCGCCGCGGTGGGAAGCCAGCGACTAACCGCTTGAGCTAGGGTACGGCCTTGTCCTGCAGAGTAAGGAGACTATGTGGTCTGTTCTGAGCTCATTGCTTCTTCTAAAATAGCAGTATCATGCTGGCAATCTTATTGTTCCATACAGCCGAACAGTGTTACGGTACGGTATATGAAGATTCATCAGAATCTGACAAATGACCCTGACGATAGGCTATATATGTGAATTTCAGTTTAGGCCCTTACAGCTAATTAAAGTGAACGAAATATAAACATAAATAATCCCTCCTACCAACTCTCAATTCTGGGCCGCGCCATAGCTCAAGCGATTAGTCGCTGGCTTCCCACCGCGGCGGCCAGGGTTCGAGCACGTCTCTGGTCAAGTGGGATTTGTGATGGACAAAGTGGCGTTGGGGCAGGTTTTCTCCGAGTACTTCGATTTCCCCTGCCAATCTTCATTCCACCAAATTCTCCATCATCATAATCACCCGGGGTAGGTACAATAGGCCAATCAGTGGCCGACGTGCCGAGTGGACCCAGCTAGACTCAACCACCCCACAAAGCGAATTAAAAAAAACTCTAAATTCTGTCTGGATCGAGGGAGCACGGGACGTCAGTGATATGCACAGCATTTGCCGACAGTCAGGTGTTACAGAGCTTCTGCAGCACATACTGCTGTGTCCTCTGAATGCTGCAAACCTGTGACTATACTCTTCGATGCAGGGAGTTCAAATTAAGATCTGACAAAAAAAAAAAAATGATTGAGCCCCAGTTCATACTAGCCACGTCACACGCAGGTGTGGTGACGGTCACTACATCGCGGTTGAACTATACATAGTCAGCGCTGTCGATCATCTGTCATCTGGGGCTGGTAAAATAGGCCAATAGTGGCCGCAGTACCAAGTGGACTCGGTCTCACCCAAC